CTACATAGAGCAGAACTGCATTCAGGATGAGGTCTCTGGGCTTTGTGAACTCAGCATCCCCTGAACTTTTTTTATGGTTCACAGCAGGGCGCCAGATCCACCTCTGACCCACAGGGCACAGGTGCATTCTGCCCATGGGCTTGACCCCTTGCACAGCCGGCAGGGGCTTTGTCTCTTCAGGACTGTCAGGGCTTCATCTTCTAGACAGTGGGGCTGTGTCCATGCTGTCATGGGCTGAGTTTTCTTGGGCATTGCTGTGAAAAGGCACAATAAGAGGAAAAAAAGACAAAGTGGGGAGAAGCTTCTTGTGTGCAGCTGACTGCTCAGGGGAGTTCTGTCTTCAGAGGAACCTCAGAAAGAGATTGATGGGAAAACTGTGGGGTTTTATTTAGTTTTGTGTGCAGTGGAGATGTTGACCAGTGATGTTCTTTGGTGCATGGTGTCCCATTTTCCTGGCAATGTTTATTGAGGGGAATGTTCCACCCTCTTGGTATGTCCTTGGTCCCATTTGCATGGATTAACTGACCACAGCCATGTGGATTTATTTCTGGGCTCTTTATGCTGTTCCTCTCATCCGTGTGTCTGTGTTTGTGCCAGTTCCTCACTGTTGTGGCTAATAGAGCTCCATGATACAGTTTGATGCTAGGGAGGGAGATGCCTCCAGCTGTGTCCTTCTTTCTCAGAACTTCTTTGGCTGTTCAGGGTCCTTCGTTGTTCTATATTATTAATAGGATTATCATTTCTATTTCAATGAAACACATCATTGACTATTATATTGATATTTCAGTGAATTTGTTGATATCTTTTGGTAGAGTCAATAATTTAATAATAGTAATTCTTCCAATCCAGGAGCACAGAATATTTTCCTGTTTATTTTTGTCTTCTTTAACTTCTTTTTCCATGGTTTATAGTTTTTTGAGCACAGGTCTTTCACATCCTTGTTTAAATTCCTAGATATTTTGTTCTTTTTGATACAATTATAAATGTGATTGTTCCCTTAAATTTTCCTTCTGATGGTTTATTATTAGTGCATAGAGATGCAACTGATTTTTGTACATTGATTTCATATTGAACTGTACTGAATTTATTTATTTTAACAACTGTTTGTTAAGTGTTGTGGAAAATTGTAATTTTAAAATCTCACTGTTTCTCCTGCATCCCAGGTCATGCACAGGATCCAAGAATCGGTGGCTTCTGGTGTATTCATCCCACAGTGCCTCTTAATAACAAGTGGATTCCTACAAATGCGATGAGCATCACAACTTTGGCTGACCTTGGTCTGGGTAAATCTTGTCTTCTATAGCAAGGTTTGATGTCTGTCTTATCAACTTCTTTGCCATGGTATTGATATGGTTGTTTTGAAAAGTAATGGACTTTCCAGTAATTTCTATGATGGTAAAAACTACTCACAGTTGCTCCTTTATACCAAGTACTGTAGGGTGTTTTACTCAAAACAGGGATAGTCTCCTGAGGAACCATCATATAACCCACAAATGAAGAAGTCATATGGCTTCCACATTATTGTGTAACCCACTGGACCACTTCAACTTTCACCAGTAGGTCTAGCTGCTTGTTTTCTTTTTCTGGCTTTGTTACTGAGACTCTCACTTTGACAACCTTTATGGATGTAAAGCACATATGATGACCATATGACCTGGGAGAACTTTTCCTTATGGCTCTTTTCACTAGGGATCTTTTCAATGTTTATTAGTGGTGTAAATTGTATCAGTTCTACATTCCTACATGATTTTCACTGTGATTAAAAATACATATGACACTTTTAATTGAAATCATTTCAAGTACACATTTCTGTGGTATTAACTACTTTTACATAGTTGTACAAACAAGTTCAAGATCTTGTGTGCCTACTTTAAGCATGGGAGAGGCCCAGGATATTGAGTAACTCCCTGAAATGGCCCAAGGCATCACCTGAAATGCCATCTTTCTCTAACACCAAAAGAAAGGAAGGTTATGTTCATCATATAGGTTTAAATCTTAGCCTTCTCAATTGATAAGTTTTCTGAGGTTTAGTCTTCCTTCTTTTCCTGGTACAGAAAGGGAGATTACTTTTCAAATGGAGATTTCCCTTATAAATGTAAATTTGCCTCACAAAAGGCATTCTTGACTTGGGTATCATAGAGTTTCATGTGTCTTATTTTTTAAGAAATCTGCCCATTGTAATCTTCATGCCAAAGAGATGTATTTTAGGATGTCACTTGCCCTCTTCCCATTGGTGTGCCCCAACTTGCTTATGTATTCATGCACAGAAGGACATCCTCATATTTTAAAGTTTTTAGCCATTATGAGTAGAGTTGCTGTGCATAATTGCATGCTAGTTTTTGTTTGGACACTTTATCAAAGCAATTGTCTAAATACTAGAGGTGCAATGTTGGATTCTCAGGTGAGTAGCTTTGGAAAAAACTGCCCAACTATCTTTCTGACCCTCAAGGTGCACATGTCTCACTGGTGGGTTTGGCTCCTGTGGGAAATTGGCTTCTTGTGGGGTTGGTGGAGGCTGGGTCTCTTCAGGACCCACCGTGGTCTCAGCTTCAGAACAATGCTCGACCAACTAAGTCCACCCAGACAGGAGCTGGATGTCTTCAAGAATCACCAGGAGAACTGATAAACAAGATTATACTGTATAGCACAGGGAAATATATACAAGATCTTATGGTAACTCACAGAG